ACGCTTTCAGTTTAAATGTGGGATGCTGAATGAAGAGTAATAGATTTCCCATCTTGTATTCTTTGAATGAGTCTTCCGCACTGTTTCTGGTGCAGGCTCATTGGTGAGAAGGGAATTGTATAGACTAGGAGTTACTCAGTTTCTGTTAGTGTCAAGTCCAAATTAATCATCACAAAGGCACCAGTCCTATGGTTTAGTACAACTTAAGAGTTGGCCATAATTGCAACATCACGATAACATTGAAGAAAACTTTACAAGATTGTTAAACTGTTGCTTACTGCTATTTACATCTGCAAAAAAATAGTTATTTGTACCTACTTTTTTCATTAAACGTAACATCCAGAGAGAAATATAGTTACATAGCTGGAAAGAAATTATTGTCCAGTTCTGTGATCCTCTGCTTGATGATTGTAATGCGACCAGAGTCTTCCAATTCCAAGAAGTGTTACGTAGAGTTTTTTCTTTGAAATTACCTGTAACAAAACAAATAATTTGAAGCTTTCCACAGCAAGCTTGCAAGCTATATTAAGTAATATTTAGTTACTATACACAGTTTTTTAAGTCCACCTATACTTAGAATGATTGAGGCTTACGGGGGTAGAATCATGGCGACAGGTTGCATAAACGTGGCTCTTATCTGTCTAAACTTTGGACATTGATGGATGGTTAAACTTAAAATTATTTAATTGGTTATTTACAAACTATACTATCAAAAAAAATCAAGTATCTTCAAGTTAGAGCTTGACCATATGGGAGGAAAATCAACAAGCAACTTCTCATACAAAGGCAGTTGAAATCTGAATCTCCCTCCTCTTAAAAAATAATGTTGCTAAGACACTCATTTGGAGTTTTCAAAACTGAGTTCACTTGGGCAAGGTTATCAAGGCCTGGGGAGCTAAAGCATGTAAATAGAGTTGAAGGTCATTAAATAGAAAAGAGCAGTTGAACATTGTTCTTTTCCATTAGGTAATCTCCCTAGTATTAAATATGGGGAAACAAGACCAAGAGTAATATTTAGATAAAGTGAAGTTAGAGAGTAGAGGATCATTGATCTAGGGCGCATGTGTGATTCATTTCAATATCACAGCATTTATCACTAAATATGTGACAGTTTAGGAAACCATAGATAGAATAGATTGGAGCTAAGGAGATTCTCTGCAGTGTAAACCAGCAGGCTGGGTATGATAATACCATTACTGGGGAAAGGGTGTGGTTGCAGCATGACATTTTCATTGCAAATGTGGAAATGACAAATTATAATGGCAAAACTGTTGCCATGAAGTATGTGCAAGTGCAGGGTATTTAACATATTTATATACTTAGATGCTTGATGCAAGTACATTTTTCATTTAACTTCCATTGCAGAACTTCTATTGTGAAAATTTCTGAAGTCAATGCTTTATGCTAATGGAAGAACACTTTCAAATATTCATATTTGATTTTGGGTAACTTACAGATCCTGTCAGTAATTTGGAGGAGAGCAAAGTTGTTTAGGACAACATAGAGATGCCTAATAAAAGGATACACACCACCTCTGTGTATATGACATCTGTGGAGTACTACATTTAGCCGTAACTACGTATGATTTCACCCCCTTGGCAAAATCATCCACTGTGTTCTTCTTTAAGATATTATCTCATAACCCATGTCTTGCAGGAGTCAAACTTTCAATCTTTCTGATCCATAGAGCAGTTGGGAACCCCACAGCTGGACAATAGGTGTGGTCATTGCTTTTTGTTCCACAGAAAATGCAATCTAGATATTCCCACCAGTAGCACAAGTTAGAAGAAGTGTCCCAGGTCAGGAATTGAGTCATGGGTGAGGTATAGCATTCTTGCACATTGTCCCTCACTGAGATCAGTAGAACATAGTTATTATATTCTACGTTAGATCAAAAATGGTTCAAAAAGATTGCCTCAAACAGATATACATGTTCCAGTATCTTCACTTCCAATAGCACTTAGAGCCAAATTTTCCTCTGGGCGCAGAGGCAAGATTTGACACCTAAAGTATGACACTTCTGAATGCATCTGGAGGAAATCCAATTTTCCTTCATGAACCAGACCCCACATCAGTTTCCACTAGCACTTTTTTGCAGATTGAAAATGCCTAGTATGAAAACCTAACAATGCCTCTGCTCAGGTTGTGTTCCCCATTGTAAATGGCAAAAGACAATCAGATTTCCTCCCATGAAACTTTACTGCCTGGTGGTATAGGGTTTTAGAAGACTATTAAAACTATGCCATGATTGAGAATAAATGCTAAGGAATGTGGAACATTCTGAAAGGGGAGTTTAAACTGATACCACACGTTCAAAGTGTCAGTATTAGTAGAATTAGTAATATGTTGTATTATAATGTAGATGTGCTTTTAATGCAGTGATTCACCATAGGGATCTGATCTATAAAGGTAAAGCTAAAGACTGCTTGGTGCCTGGATCTGACAGGATGCATTCTGGGATATCAAAGGAAGTAGCTACAGAGATAGTAGATGCACTGATGGTAATCTTCCAGAAATCCTTAGATTCTGGCAAAGTCCCAGGGGATTGGAAAGCTACCAATGTGACACCTTTATTTATTTAGGGAAAGAGACAAACAAGGTAACTATAGGCCAGTTGGATTAATTTCTATTATTGAGAAAATGTTTGAGTTTACTGTAAGGAATGTAATAGCAGAGCATTTTGAAATGCATAATATAATCAAGCAGAGTCAGTGTGGCTTCATGAAGAGGAAATCATACCTGACAAATTTCCTACAATTCTTTTTGAGGAGGGGTAAAAGCAGAATAGATAAAGGGGAAGCAGTAGATATAACATATTTGGACTTTTCAGAAGACGTTTGATAAAGTACTACACGTTAGGCTATTTAAGATTAAAAACTCACGATGTTGGAGGTAGCATATTTCAGTCTGGCAACGTGTAACTAGTGCTGGGGCCACAATTTTTTTGATATATATTGATAACTTAGATGAGGAAAGTGCATATACTATAGCCAAGTTTGCTGATGACACAAAAATAGGTGGGAAGGCAAGTGGTGAGGGTGACACAAGGAATCTGCAGAGGGATAAAGACCAGTTAAGTGAGTAGGATAACACTTGGCAGATGGAATATAATGTGGCAAAATATGAGGTTATGCATTTTGGCTTGAGGAATATTGGAGCTGCATGGTATTTAAATGGAGAAAGACTGCAGAAGGCTACAGAACAGAGGCATTTGGGTGTCCTCATACATGAATCTTAAGAAGCTAGAATCCAAATTCAGCGAGTAATAGCGAAGACAAAGGGAATGTTGGCCTTTGTTTCAAAGGGAATGGAGGATAGCAGTAGGAATGAAAGGTGACCTTATTGAAACTTACAAAATTCTTCGAGGACATGACGGGGTAGATGTAGAAAATTTATTTTCCCCCTTGTGCGAGAGTCTGGGACCAGAGGGAGCGCTCTCAGAATAAGGGGTCACACATTTAAAACAAATGAAGAGCAATTGCTTCTCTCAGAGAGTTAGAATTTGTGGAATTTTTTTACCACAGAGGGCCGTAAGGATTGGGTCATTAAGTATAGCCAAGACTGAGGTAGACACATTTTTCATCAGAAAGGGAATCTTGGGTTAAGGGTAAAGACAGGAAAGTAGAGTTGAGGATTATCAGACCAGCCATGAATGGCAGAACAGACTCAATGGCCCAAATAGCCTACTTCTGCTCCTGTGTTTTATGGTAAGCTGACCCTGGTCTTGAATAGCATTATATACCTCTTTACAGTCATTATCGTGCTTTTCAATAGAAAAGCTACCAGAACACGGTGAAAGCTATTGCAAAGTGACCTCTCAGCCTGTTCCCTGATTCAGGGGACTCCTAAACAAAGTTAGATACTGTGCTGCTGGGGCCGGGAGCCAAGGCAAGCATTCTCACAAGCCCACCTCCTGTGTTGGATAGTAGCATGTAAACTGCGCCATGAATCCAAAACCTATGGGGGCGAAGTCACACATCAATTGGGGTTGCAATTAATGAACCTCAAAATAGGCACCCTTGCAGAACGTGTCCCCAAATGTAACATCCAGTCCTTGGTGCTCCAATTACCAAAAGACTTCTCCTTGACATGTTTCCTTTACTACATTTCTGCCATTCTTTCCTGTTCAAGTCCATTTGCTCATTCTGGTAATTCCTCAGCAACTTTAGTTCTCGAAATTGGAACAGTGTGCAAATTGAGTAAATCCGGATAAATTTACACATTCCCTGTTGACGGTGCCTAATCAATTCTTAGGCTGGCTTACTTTGAGAAGCAATGTTAAGAGAATTAGCTAAAGTTAGCAGCCACTTCATTTAATACTAACTAACTGCACTTTTACAAGAGTTTGCCAGCTGTAAAGCATGCAGCAAATTGCCTTTATTGTTTTAAAAAAAAGCTTAAAATATATCTTGAGTTGTAATTTTATAACCATATTGTACATATAAAACATGAACATCTTTCATTTACCTTGTATTCTTTGCTTTCTCTTCATTAGTGTTATATTTTGTCTCGAGTCAGTTTTCATTTCACAGACAAGGTTCAGCTTATTCTCCTTTCTCTGTTCTCATTCTTTGTCATAGTCTCTGGAATGTTCCATCTCTTACAATTCACTGTTGTCCTTTGGGTTTAATATCATCACGTAGAATTATCAAACCTTTTTTGAGTTAAAACAAGACGATGTCAATCGTAGAAATTAAGGTCCAAGAGTACGGTTTCATCTGGGACTGCTTTCAGGTCTAAAGTCGTGAAGATCCAAGTCTGACCTGAAATTGGGCTGTGGGCATCATTCCAATAAATAAGGCAAATTTCTGGGCATGCTTCCGATGTCAGATAGGAGCTATTTGATCTTATTGCCCCATAAAAATGGGCATCAGTTGGCAAAGAAATAGGACCATTGCTGAAAAGGGAGATATGTTGCTGAAGCTTTTTTTTGTCCTGAATTTGTCAGGACAGATTGCAAAAATGTAAATTTGAAACAAATATAATACTTTATACTACAGGACAAAAACATGCTGATTGTTGGCAAGTCGACTCTGACTGATGCGTTGCCATGGAGAAAACAGCGGGGAACTATAGGCTTCCCAAGCTCCTGGGTAATTCAGAAAGGCATGTGGCTTGGACTTATTTTTTTTGTTTGCAGAAGCCAAGCCCTTGCCTATGAATGTATGTCGCTTCTGGCAAGTGAAAATGAGCCACGTTACGTGCTTGAGCAATTGCCTTAAAGTGTTTGTTAATGTAGCTATTGCTGCACGCAGGATTGTTCAGCAAGTGCTGCCTAACTGCAGACTCTCATCTAACAATCAACATTTTGTTCTTGGGTTTTGCAAACATGGACTGGTTGGGTACAGTCTGTACTTTGCCTTTATCAAACAACTAAAGGAACATGCTATTTGATTCAAATCAGCGAGTTGTTGGGATATGCAGCCTGTGTACCTGGCATCACACTGACAGTCTGAAGTATTGGATGCAATCGGGTAACGACAAAGTAGGCTTATCTGTGAAACAGAGCCTGTGGAATTAAAAGGGCACCAGCAGTATTGATAGAAAGTTGGCTGAGTGACAAGAAACAGAAATGTGGTGAACAATTATTCTTAGGAGTAAAGGATAGAATATTGTGCGTTTTCCTTTGAAGTTGGTATTAGGATCTCTTTTTTCTTTACTCCATTTAAATGACAGGGTGTATAGGGCATAATTTCAAAATTTACAGATGACACAAACTTGGAAATATTATCAACTCTGAACAGCATAGTGTTAGACACAAACAGGCTTATGGACACGTGGCCAATAAACATGAATGCAGAGAAGTGTGAAGTTATACGTTTTAGTGGAAGGATTGGAGAACAGCACTACAATATAAAAGGTACAATTCTTAAGGGGTACAGGAGCCTGAGGATTGTGTATGCATAAACCATTGAATCTCTCAGGATAGATTGAGGAAAAAGTTATCATAGAACTCCTACAGTGTGGGAGCAGGCCATTTGGTTCATCGAGTCCACATTGACCTCCCAATAGTGACCCACCACCTAATTCCTGTAACACTGCATTTCCTATGGCTAATCCAACCTAGTTTGCACATCTCTGGACAATATGGGCAATTTAGCACAGCTAATGTAGCTAATCTGCACATTTTTGGACTGTGGACTACCCAGAGGAAGAACGTGCGAACTCCAGTCACCTGAAACTAGAATCGAACCCAGGGCTGTCTGCTCTCTCAACAAGGCCTAATACCTTCAAAGATTTATGTACGTGAGCCTCCAGGTCTCTCCGTCCCTGTACATCTGCGCGCTAGAATTTTAAAGGGGCATATTGCATTCTTCTCCAATACCAGAGTCAGTTCAAAACCAGCTAATCTTAAACAAGACTGTCTCCAGTGATAACACACAGTCAGTGGTCTTAATGAGCAGAGTGAGATGTTCAGTGGTAAAACGTCCTGACTTTGGGAGTTGATGGCCAACCTGGTAGAAAATCTTTGTGTTTTCCCTTATGTTAGCTGAATTCTATTCACACTTTATATTAGCCAGTCTTGTCTTCCTCATCACTTCCCCATCCTCTAAAATTACTGTAGGCAGCCCAATTCACACTTGAAAGATTCATTTCACATGCATGCCTACTATCTTTAGTTTTGTTTCATTATATTCTCGCTCGCTCTCGCTCTCGCTCTCTCTCTCTCGCTCTCTCTCACACACACACACTCTGTGTCCTAATTTAGGTGGATACAAAGTCACGGGATGTGTACGTGTGAATTCTGCACATCATTCACTGCTTGCTTACTCCATGCTGGGAATGGGATTGCGCAAGATTGACTCCTTAAAATGGTCCTAACATTTTAATTTATAATTTCTTGTTCCATTCTCACATTTTCTCCTAATTTCAAAGAATATTTTTTCAACTACATCAGCTACAATTAACGTATATGTATGGATATTTTTGGCAATGGCTTTTGTTCTAACATCAATTTAACTCAACGGCGGTAATTTCCATGTGAGTAATCCTTGCAGAACTCCAAAGCATACCTTAATCCCCTGCTTCAGATACGTTGGACCCAATCACTCATTACCTCGACTAACAGTGCTTGACCTTCACGTGCACATTTGTGCATTTTTGGTTATCCTGATATTCTAAAGTGACCCCCATGTTTTTGTAAATTTTACAATTGTCGTAACCTCATCAACATACCAGCTGCGTTTATCTTCAGTTTATATCTTGAGTTAATGTCACAAGTGCTAATAATCAAGGTTCAGATCAATAGATTTTTGATCTTTCTGAAAATCGTAGCACACAAGGAGTAGGCAGGAAGGTGGTGTTGAGTCAGAGGATCAGCCACAAACATTTTAAATGGCAGAGCAGACTTGAGGGGCCATATGATGGACTCCAGCTCCTATTTCCTATGCTCACTGGCTGATTACAATCTTGCCCTTTTGCTAATTTCCAGCCAGATTAATTCTACCATTGCTGGAACTGTGTTACCATATTAGTCCTAGTTTCTATATCCCAGAGGTGAAAATTGACATATCCTGATTTTTGCATAAGGTTTTCCTTTGGCAGAAGTGTGTCTCTTTTAAAGTAACATATTGCCAGATGTTGGCATTTGATCATCACATCTCCAGCCTCACCTCTTGCTGTACAGAGCACAATGCTTAAAGCCGACAACCACTAGCGCATCAACTGTGCGCTGAAGCAGATATTTGAGTGGTTGATTTCAGAGGGAAATGATGCGTAGTGACACATTCACTTACAGCAGAGAATGAGGTCATACAACTCATTGAATCTATTCTGGCTCCCCATGGAGCAATCTGGTCTATGCCAATTCCTTGCTGCATCCCTGTAAGCTTTCAAATTTGTTTTCTTCAAGAATCAGTTTATTTTCCTTCTGAAATCGTTCAGCACCTCTGCTTCCATCCCCATCGTGGGTTAGCGAGTTTCAGGTCGTTACCATACACTGTGAAAACAATTCTTCTACACATTTCCTCTACATCTCTTGCACAAAACCTTAAATCTGTGTCCCTCATCAGCTAAGAGCAGATTTTTCTTGTCTACCTTTTCTAAACCTGTTATAATCTTAAACCCTCAAACCTTGAAAAGATCATTACATAATACATTTGAAGCTGGAATATAAGGGACTATGGAGTGGCATGGTGGCTCAGTGGTTAGCACTGCTGCCTTGTGGCGCCAGAGACCTGGGTTCAATCCCACCCTTGGGTGACTGTTTGTGTGGTGTTTGCACATTTCCCCCATGTCTGCGTGGGTTTCTTCCCACAGTCCAAAGAAGTGCAGGTTAGGTGAATTGGCCATGCTAAATTGCCCATAGTGTCTAGGGTGGGAAATGCAGGGATAATGTAGGGGATGGGTGTGGGTGGGATGCTCTCCAGAAAGGTTGGTGTGGACTTAATGGGCCACATGGCCTGCTTCCATACTGTAGGGATTCTGTGGAAGGTCAGGGGAGTGCACTGACTGGATTGCTCTTAAAGAACTAGCACAAACAGTGTGTTGAATGGCCTTTAGTGGACCTTTTGCATACCTAAAATCTGCATTCCCTATGCACAATATCAATTTTCAGAACAGTTACAGCTCCCAGTAAACTGAACTGAAGTTCATAAAAACTGCACATTGCATTGGAGTGCAGCAGTTGAATAAAAGGAGCTTGCAAGCCAGATATGGCAAGTGGGCAGACAGTCTGTTACATACTGCTGTGGGGTAGGGCATGCTTCCATTTCATGCTTTAGTCTTCAAGAAACCCCAAGTGTTGTTGCAAATATACAGCATGCAAAATACTCTTGAGACTTGCTCTGTGTTTGTTGTTCCGTGAAGCCCTTTGAAGATGTGATTTTGGCAAGGTGTAGCCAACTGATTTAGAGGGAAACAGGAGTTGCCAAGAGAGGGTTTAAGGCACTGCAATGGCTTGACATAGCTGAGTGATTTTTTTGTAGAACAGTTGTAGTATGATCTTGGACCATGTACTTGCTACATCAGTATTGTTATGTCATTGAACCTCTTCTATGCCTGTAAATGTGCTCTGGCTGATGTGAAGTTTTAAAAAATAGGGAAATTTAGAAATTAGAAGATTAAAGCAAAATGGAAAAATCAAACTGACTTTTGTACAAAAGTGTAATGTAATCACTTGGAGTAAGTTACCCGAATACACTTGAACTAAATAGCCAAGTTAGCCTCTGGTTAGGTGGCTGTACTAATCATCCAACATGCAAAGACCAGGTCAAATGGCTGCCTTTTGTGGGTTGTATCATTTTACAATCTTATGATTAAACAGTTTAACTGTGGTGAATAAAATCACTGCACTAAAGATGTTGGAGACCTGAAATAAAAGCAGAAAGTGTTGGAGAAACTCAGCAAGACTGGCAGCATCTGTGGGGAAATAAACAGTTAACGTTTTGCACTAAGTTCCAAAGAGTCCTATTGTACTCAACATTAACTCTGTTTTTCTTCTTATAGACGTTGTCTGATCAGCCAGATTTCTCCAGCCCTTTTCTGTTTCTTTCTGTAACTGTTGAATTTCTCTTAGTATTTCAGTTGAAATTTTATTTTGCATGTTTGCAGGAATGCCCATCTGCTCTATGCATGCCTATATGCTGCAGCTAATGCAAAACTGAACGGCGCTTGTAATAGCATTTGTCGAACGTCCATTGACCCACAGCCTTTATGGCATGTAACGTTACATGACATATTTTGCTATGCAAATTTGGGCATTTACAAAGCTAAATTTGAGACAAACTCCGCTTGCAGGATAAGGTACACACAAAGCTTTGAAAGGTGAAAAACATGAGAGCGTCAGAAGAGCAACTAAATACATGATGTGAAAACAGAGGATCTGAAAATCGAGAGATGAATAAAAATTGACTGAGCCCATATCCCCCTTCGACACAATGGCCTACAGTTGAAATTAACACACCTCTACTCCTCCACAACCACCTCTGGAACTGTAAACTCACAGAACAGAATGGCAATATTAGAGATGAGAAATAGGCACCCACCGGAACAGCACAAAGATTAATCTTCTGTCACAATAAGAACAAAAACTTGTTATTTCAGCTCTTAGTCTTTCTAATTGTTTTCTATAAATCCTGTAACAAGTAATAATGTGTCAAAAAGCAATTCCTAAAGTAAAATCTTTTAAATTAAAAACATTTGTGAATTTTCAAAAAATCCTAATTTTTGCCTATTTGCATTCATTTCCTGTTTATTTTTCCATCACCAACCATGATACTCTATTAGGGAGGCAGTGCTGACTTCTACCTACTTTGCTGGTCATTTTTCATTTATTCATTCACGAGATGAGGGCATCACTGGCCAGGCAGTATTTATTACCTGTCCCTAACTAGCCAGAGGGCTGTTAATAGTCAACCACATTGCTGTGGGTCTGGAGTCACATGTAGGCCAGAATGGCAGTTTCCTTCTCTAAAGGACATTAGTAAACCAGATTAATTCATAGTCATCATTAGACTCTTAATTCCAATTTTTTTTTTTTCATTATTGCATTCAAACTCCAGCATCTGGCATGGCAGGATTTGAACCCAAGTCTCCCTGAACACTATCTGGGTCTTTGAATTAACAGTCCAGCAATAATACCACTAGGCCATCACCTCCCCACAATGAGCATGAGTATTTGTATTCTAGGCCACTCATGGTCACTTCAAATCCACTGTCAATTTAGTTAATGTCCACTGTGAAAAGTAAAACACATCAATTTGCTATGGCAAAAAAAAGTAACAATATTTTTGGGACAGCCATCATAATATCTGATTGGACTACTGGTATGTCAGTCACCTTGAAACAGAAATAAATGAAGTATCCAGAAGATGGTGATTGGGAATTTTCGAAGTCTGTCCATGAGCTGGCATTGTTAAAGGAACAAAGTTCAATCATGTGTAAAAATTTTGAAAATACAGATAAACGTTAGCTGACAAATGCAGAGTTGATGGTTTGGAATAAAAACATTGAGCTACAGATTTTGGCATTGCAGCCATTTATTAACATAAATAAACTTTATATGGACAACCAGAAAGGACAAGAACCACCTTGCAGAGAAGAGATGTAATTCAAGCTGGTATCATCCTAACTCTAGGTTGTCACTCTAGTGCATTACTGAGGAACTGCTGCAGTGTCAGAGGTACCCTTTCTCAGAAGAGACATTAAACTGAGGCCTGGTGTATCCTCCCAGGTGAACATAAAGGACCCTATGACATTATGGATAACTTTCCTCCTCTTTGACAACGTCTTGGTAATATTTAGCCCACAATCAGTATCCCCAAAAGACCAATTATCTGGTCATTATCTCATTGCTGCTGTGAGAACTTACTGTGCACCATTGGCATCATTTTCCTACATTCTGACAAAAGTACTTAATCAGCTATAAAGTGCTTTGGGCTGGCCTTATCTTGATCAATAAACTTACGCAGTGTTTTCCCTTTATGTATGCATACACAGCAATAAATAATCACATTTATCAAAATTATAATTAATTTCTGGGTCATCACAAGATATTATTAACGTGAGTTTGCTTTGTGAGGCAAGGGCTCTATTGAAGCAGTGGTGGAAGCTCCATGCATTCACCTTGACACATTTCTACAGATCCTTCAGAGTGCAAAAGCCAACTTAAAACATTGTCTTTGGGAATACTTTACAGTGTCACTTTCAAAAGGAACTGGCCACAGGTCCAACAATTTAAAAGGACTGACTCTGATGTAAATTGGGTGACATGATGGCTTAGTGATTATCAATGCAGCCTCATGACACCAAGGACGTGGGTTCACTTCCACCTTTGGGCAACTATCTGTGTGGGGTTTGCACCTTCTCCCCATGTCTGTCGTGCTAAATTGCCTCATAGTGTCAAGGGGTGTGCAGGCTAATTGGATTAGCTATGGGAAATGCAGGGTTATTGGGATAGAATGGGGGGGGGGTGGGTCTGGGTGGGATGCTCTTTGCAGGGTCAGTGTAGACTTGATGGGCCAAAAGGCCTGCTTCCACACTGTAGGGATTCTATGAAACATAGACAAGTGTAAATTCAGCCAGTGATGGTTGGTGTTCTTTTTGGGAGTGTTCAGTTTGGTACTGTATGTCATGTTTTCACAACTCTACTGTGTTTTTGTTTCAGGCAATACAGCAACAGAGTTCTTCAGAGACAGAGGGAGAGGGAGGAAATACAGCAGATGCCAGTAGTGAAGGTGAAGGGGGTGAGATAATAGATGAGGAAGGAAAAACTAAAAGCAGAAATGAAAAAGGAGGCTCCAAACGAAAAAAAGCTACTTTTAAGGTAAAGGAATAGAATCTTCCTGTGGGATGTAAGAATACTGTATTGTATATGTTTCCATGTTGTTTTAGGTTAAAACCATTCTCTCAAGGTTCAATAAAACAAACAACTGCAGATGCTGTAAATCTGAAACAAAAACAGAAATTGCTGGAGAAACTCATCAGGTCTGGCAGCATTTGTGGATAGAACCAGTTAATGTTTTGACCCCAGTCCTTCTTCAGAACCATCCTCATCATCTAAGGCCCCAGACACACCTTCCAGGTGAAGCAACGATTTATCTGCACTCTGAACTCTTCAGAAATTGATCCTATCCCAAATTTTTAATGTGCAGTAAACAGAAATGGCTTTGTATTTGTGCATTTTGAGCTTAAGTTTAGTTGGACTTATCAGAACTGCAGTATGGTTTGTGTCAGTTCATCAGTGTATCACACTGGCAAAGCAAAACACTGATACCTTTAGTGTTTTGTGTTAGTAATTTATGTTGGATTTCATTTGTTCTCTTCCAGCATTGTCAGTGCTCTTGTTTATTTTGTAATCCTTCACATCTCATTGAAAATTTTCTCTCCATTGTAAGTGTGGGGTTTCAAACTTGCTTATAAATAAATATTGTCATCCCATTGTCTCACAGGGCCTCTCTAACCTGTATGAAATCATTGGAAATGTATTTGTAAGAGTGTGCTGGAGCAATGTTTTGCTTACAAATTCTCTTTAGATTTTCTTGAGATTTGGGTGTCACTGGCAAGGCCTGCTTTTTTTTTTAACCGTCCTGAATTATCTTTGAACTGGGTGGCTTACTAGATCATTTCAGAAAGTAGTGAAAAAATGAATGTAGGCCAAACCAGTTAAGGGCAGCAGATTTCCTTCAATAAAGGGCATTAGTTAACCAGATGGATTTTTGCAACAATTGATGATAGTTGCCATGGTCACCAGCACTTGGGATGAGCTTTCAATTCCAGAGTTATTATTTGAACTTAAATTTCATCATGGAGTATTTGAACCCACATCTGCAGAGCATTAGCCTGGATCTCTGGATTGTGAGTCTACCTACATTAGCACTTTGCCACCATCTCTCAAACCTGCCCATCTCCTTAGTGAATATCTGTGGTGCTTCTCACGGTGTACTCATAGATGCATCAAGTCACAGTGAATGGAGTAATGGTAGTTGGGGCAGAGTGGTGAAAGTCAGGATCTGTATCAAAAGAGTGGGCACTGAGAAGCAGAAAATGCTGTCTGACAGTGATTAGTGCAAAGCTCTGCAGCGAGCTGATATCTTCAGTGGCTACGCTGCCTCTGAGAACTCCTTCTAATGAAGCAAGTGGGCACCAGATGTACACTCAGATGCACGCAGACAGAAGACGATGCTTGAAAGGCACCAGTGTCGATAAAGAGGCAGGAATTTTTGAAACACTAAGGGTGAGCCATTTTCAGTTTCTTCTGGTAGTCAGACAGGATTTTGATCCAGGCACTTTGAGAATAAGTGGTAAGATTATGCATTAAACCACTCTGGTATTTATTTTTCAGATTTAGTAAGAGGCTCTGTTTGCTTTGTTGTTGTGCCACTGTCTCTACCATTGCTGGGACAACAAAACCTGCCCAAGCAGCAATTCACATTCTATAGAAAATCTAAATAATGCAGATACTGGAATTCTGAAATGAAATGAAAACTGTTGGAGAAACTTATCAGGTCTGACAGCATTTGTATATATGTATGTAGAGAGAGAGAGAGAGAGAGAGAGTTGAGGTTTAAAATGCCATATGACTCTTCTGAACACTCAACATGTTCACTCTTTCTGATTCCACATATGCTGCCAAACCTGAGTTTCTCCAGCACTTCTTTTTTTCAATTGAAGATCCCTGCCTTGCTACTTCAAATGGAACTTGAAGGAGGACAGCACTGTAGTCCTGTGACAAGGAGAGCCGTGCTTGGAACAAATAATAATCCCAAAATGTTATCAGTGTAGACCGGAACCTAACCTCCTCTCTGGGTCCTCATTTACTTTCCTGGGCTCTCCCTGCTCTTCTCAGACTGAATGTGGCAATGTCCTAAAAGGCTTATGCATTTCCAGGCCCCTCAGTTTACAAAGTAGCAAAACCCAAGCATTGTTGTCTTATTTTATAGCATCAGTAACATGTAATTACCCTGTGCCTTTATCCTAGAAAAATATTTTAAGGTGCATTGCAATTGTGTAAGACACTGACATGTACCATCTCCTTGGTGATATTTCTGCCAGTCCACTTGTGCCAGTAGGGAGCTTCGTAGCTTGAACTGACAGCTATTGTACATGATTTAATTCATGAGAATTGGCTTTTCTCCAAACACTCTGCATGTGCAACAGTTTAGGAACCATGCTTTGATCTCTCAGACAATTGCATCCTCCCTGCTGCTGGCTCGCTTGCCTGGTAAAAATGGCCCAGTCCCGAAAGGAGTCATTTCTCCCCAACTCCACGAGACTCTGAAGTATCGCTCCTGCAGAGCAGATTCACCTCCTCTCCATCTTTGGCAGTCGGCATGCTCCAACACAACAAGCATTCTTAATAATATTCACAGTGCCTCTCCAGAGGGTAAAAATAGGTTATTACTGAAGGTCAGAGGTTATTCTCGGGGCAGATATTTTCTAATCCCACAGGAAGAATGGTGGATGGCCCAACTTTATGGGAGAGAGTCAAATAAACTCCAATTCTGCTATTAGGACAACCGTCACTGATTTAAGTTCTTCAATCTCACAAAACAAGTCAACCTTCTCATCAGAGATAACAAGGTGTAGAGCTGGATGAGAACAGCACGCCAAGCAGCATCAGAGGAGCAGGAAGGCTGACGTTTC